AGGGGGGGGGGGGTTGATCATTTTCTGTGTAGCTTGTTTTAACTTTACAAATGCTGTGTCTGTCTGTCAGTTGTAGCCAAGAAACGATGAAGGACAAGGATAAACCCAAAACCAAGAGCAGTGCTGTAAAGAGAAAAGCCAAAGATGTGGACTTTCAGTACACATGTGAGTGGATGGATTGCTCCCATAAGGAAGACAGCATGAACCTTTTCAACCATCATGTGAGTCAGCATCGGCTGGCATATTTCCAGCAGATTGTACGTGACTCAGGCGCTGACTCAGCCACTGGTACGTTGTGTGCATATATATACTCAAAATTAGTTATAAAATTAATTGGGAGTATGAATGTTCCATCAATGTTGATTTCAACAGATACTACTGCTAGTAGTGAAAATGTTCTCTTAGCTGTCTTTCTCCATACACACTCAATCAATTCATACATGCTTGACTTCATTCTGCTCCCTTGCCCTTCACTCTACAGAACTAACCTCTCTCCCAAATCAATTTTCCGCTGCTCACATAGTTTTCTTCTTCAAGTGTCAGGTCTAAAACGGACATCATTGATCATGGTTTACCACTCATTTCACTGCTTGCATGCCCTACAAAAAATTTAAAAAATCCTAGTCTTTTTTTGCCCTCTTCACCCACCTGTTCAAGTTCTTTATGTGAGATATTCTTGATCTGCTTCTTTTGCCTTCCAGTTTTTCACTGAAAGTAAGGTGTTGAAGGCCTGTATATTGATTCAAGAAAGAGTCTCTTCTTAATTGTTGTTATTAATGACTATACCGTGCTTATTTCTTTTAGCACATGCATCTTGGGATCTATTTTTTTTTTTTTCCACCTAAATCTCCCACACCTTTCCCCCAAATTCTCCCCATCATAGCAATTGCAGCAAATCTGCGCTTATCACTACATGGCTGTGGACTGAAGAACAAGAGCCCAGCTATTGCTGGATTGATAAAATAAGAGCAACAATTATGATTATTGTAATCTGTATTGGTATATTCCAGGAGGAAAGCAGGACGACGTGTAAAGAAAAAACATGCGGCAAAGACCGTCCCCGATTCAAATTGTTGTGTTTTCTACAACAATAATACTAGCTTATCTCCATAAATCCACACAAAGTAGACAGGACATCAAGTTGCACGTTTTATTTTTGATTTCAACCTGGTGGACATTGTCAACATGCCAGATACTTGTAGGCAACTGCAAACTTATTTGCCAAATGGTAATTTGGTTTTAACCTAAACCAACGCACCAAATCTCATTCATACACAACATGTACTACATTACAACATTCCCCTCCCCCTCCTCCGCATTCTATCTTGTTCTCAGGAGATTTCAGCTTCTACTGTCACTGGCGAGACTGTGGTGCCCAGGTGGAGGGCAAGTTGGCTGAGTTCTCGCGACACCTCTTTTACCACACGTTCCATCAGTACCTCAAGTTTCTCGGACAGCACATACAGGAAGTGGAGGCTCTGGAGCCGTGCTGCCTGGACAGCTCGTCACGTAACCTCATCCCGGAGCTGCCCGAGAGACTCCTGTGCCGATGGGACGACTGTACCGTGAGTCTCACCACCCACGTGGATGGTGGAATTCCTAGCTTGATTTTTATTGAGTTCTGCATTGTCTGTACTGTTATGTGCTGTACTATTTTATTTCGATTGATTATTTCTCAAAGCATTGCTCAGCTTTGTTGTTGGGGCTTTTAGTTTTGAAAGGGAAGACAAATGTAGGGATCCAGTTTTTCTCATATTTTTTTCTGTGTGATTTCTGTGTATTTTTACTGAAATCAGCTTTCAAATCAGATTTCTGTATAGCCTACCCCTTTTTCACATTTCCATTACTGAACAGTTATTGTTTTCTGTATATTATTTTGTTTTCTGTTGTACTCCATACTCATTGTGTGTATTCACTATCTTTTTACTTGCAAATGCAACTTTTTAAATTTTCAGTTATTTTCACAAAATCCCAGTGGCATCCTTGAAAACATTCCAGAGGCTTATTATTTTAAAATAAATTGTTTTGATATAATATGTGACACGTTGTGGTTGAATCAGGCGCTCATCAATTTTTTTAGATATGGAGTTATTGGTATCATCTTAAAGCCTGTTCATTTGCCTCGGTTTTGATGAAAATAATATCCATTTATCTGGGATACTAGTCGAGATATTGGTGATTGAATGAGGTAGGGGTAGCCTGGTTTCAGAGGTAAAATTAGTGAGAAAATGGCCGCCAAAGTTTGTTATTTCCTTAGCTTAGATTGCGTAGACACTTAAAAATTACAACATTCATGCCTTTAATCAACGTTTTTCTGTAAAATCCACACAGAAATGTGTTCTTTAATGGGCATTAAGGTGTAGAGCCAAAATACAAAAATAAAATAAAAATTCCCCAGCTTGCAAAAAAATGCCAGTTTCTTTACTTTCATTATTTTGATGAGCGCCTGATTTCACCACGCTGCCTCACATATGAGTTCAAGCATGTAATGTTGTAATGTTCCTCTCCTGACTTGAATTTTTAGGATTACTTATGTAGCACTCATGTCCCTGACCAACCCCAGAGGCGTCACTTATGTTTAAGCAGAGACTGCAAAAGATCAGATCGATATGGAGTGCTTATTTGGGCTGTATGTGGCTCAAATAAGCTACCCTCTCCACCATCCCCCATCAACCCCACCTTATCTGGGCTGCCCATTCTTTTAATCTCTAAAATTGAAGAGTTTGTTTCACATTCCATACCTCTTTTATCCAGGCATCCTTGTCGTTCAATTTAATTTTATCTCTGTGCTCGGCGACAGTATATCAATCGTTTTATAAATTGCAGACTAATTCATTAGAATAGGTATTCTGAAAAAAGAAAAGATTGGCAGTATCTGGTTTTGGCCTTAAGAGTGCTGGAATATTGCCAATAACTTTACATGAGTGTTACGGGTAGTAAAGGTGTTGGAAGTTAGGATTATAGTAATCGTTGGGCTGGGGCTAAAACCGGATTATTTCACAAAAGACTTTAGAACGCCTGTGAATTTCAGTGAAATGGATACCTAATCCTTTTGGATCTATGTGATTTTGGAGGGGGGGGGGGAGGATGTCTAGATTTATCTGATTTGTTGAGACTTCGTTTGACTCCTGTCACTGCATGCATTTAGCATTCTTTAGGCCAGGCTTAGATTCTACTGGATCTTTCTCTTTTAGTTTCACATAGGTTTTTTCGTTGTTACTTTTTATTTATTTGTTTTGTTTTGTTTACATGCTTAGCAACAGTATTCCAGTGTATGAATTAAACAGATCAAAGAAACCCTGTGAATTTCTGTTTAAATTGTTAGAGCCTTCATAATTCTAGAACACGACTCATTGGATCTAAATTCTATGTGATCTGTTGAGGCTTTCGTTCAATTCACTTTGATGCATTTGGCATTCCGTTGGTCTAGAATAGTGGGAAGGGGGGTGGTTTCAATGGGGACGGATAATCTGTGACGCCTGGTATAACAGTGGACTTGTGTCTTCCAGATGGAGTATGAGAACCCATACATCTTCTACTCCCACGTGTCGCATCACTGCGAGGATTTTCCCAAGGGCAACAACCCCAAGGTCGTCATCCGCTGCAAGTGGGAAGGTGAGCGTGTTTTTTCCCAAGTTCCCTTCTTCTTTTTCTTCTAACTGGCCTTAGACAGCAAAAGATCTTGTCAGGATATCAGTGTGTTAGTGCCTTTAAAATGGCAGTGTACACTGTATGCTTCCCAGAAAGTTGAGATTGTTTACGAATGCTATCGAGACTACTGGTGTATTAATATAGGTTGTAAAGTGCGTAGAGTTTGCTGTTGAGCGGGAATTTGTGGTATATAAATGCTATCGATTTTTATTATTATTATTAATACAGTTGAACCTGCTCTATCATAGCTGTAAAAGCTAGTTAGTAACCTGTTCAAAAGAATCCCCGCCCCCCCCCCCCCCCCCCTGGATTTTTTTCTCAATCATTATAATGACACTGTCCGAGAGGAAGAGCATCAGTTGAAGATAACAAATTGTCTCCTCGACAATAGCTGGTCGTATAGTACAAATTTGACTGAATTGGAACATTTTCAGAACATACATTTTGGCTGCCAGAAGAGTTGTTTCAAAGTCATTAAAGGAACACAACCGTGGTTTTAGATAATTTTGTTATGTTTGAGTTGTGTCCCCTGTCTTGCAATTCTGGTTTTATTTCAAAATTTATAGCAATTTCTAGTAGATCTTGCCCCCCTGCTTCCATGCATTCTGAAGTGTTTAGCTTACATTCAAGTAAAACGATGGGCACAAGCTGGTTAAGTGCAAGAACTAAGAAAGTATGATTTTGACATGTAGTTTTGGGACTTGATGCTCTTTGTAAAGCCTTTATCTAGTTTCACTTAACCAGTACTTTATCAAGTTTTACTTCATCAGTATTTTATCTAGTTTCACTTCATCAGTACTTTATCTACTTTCACGTAACCAGTACTTTATCTAGTTTCACTTAACCAGTACTTTATCTAGTTTCACTTAACCAGTACTTTATCTAGTTGAACTACTTCATCAGTACTTTATCTCGTTTCACTTAACCAGTACTTTATCTAGTTTCACTTCATCAGTACTTTATCTCGTTTCACTTCATCAGTACTTTATCTCGTTTCACTTAACCAGTACTTTATCTAGTTTCACTTTCAGTACTTTATCTAGTTCCCTTCATTAGTACTTTATCTAGTTTCACTTAACCAGTACTTTATCTAGTTTCACTTCATCAGTACTTTATCTAGTTTCACTTCATCAGTACTTTATCTAGTTTCACTTCATCAGTACTAGTTTCACTTCATCAGTACTTTATCTAGTTTCCCTTCATCAGTACTTTACCAGTAACAGTGATGGCCACTGTTCTTTGACACACTGGTGTTTTCCTATATTTCTGACCAGTCCATAGTGGTCCCTGTCCAGAATAGTCAAGTTCAGGTATTTTCGTGACAAGCTGGCCTCAAAACCTGATCATAGTCACATATAGTGGTCACTTGCTACAAAAGTTTTCAGCCAGCCTGTTCTCAGACAGGGTGTGTATGTTCACCCAATGCAATAAAACTCTTATGATATGGAGCAATTTTGATTGAAATGAAATTGAAAGAGATAGAGATTTCAGATTTCAAACCCTCTTTTAAGTCTAGGAAGTGTCCACAGCAACTACTTGTCATTATCGGTCACTTTTCTCTGTGATCTTGAGAGACCATTATGGAGAGATTTTACAGTGTCTTTAAAGCAGGTTATCGCTGGTCACCACGGTATCAATACGTATAGATCAGTGCTTGTCATCCTCTGAAAATCAAGAGAGGACGATGAGAATGTTCAGTGAAACTCCCCCAGACCCCATCAGATCACAGAGTGTATGAAGTATTACTGCCAATGCAGTCTCTTATAAATCCAAATAGATTTATTTTGACATTAAAGTGTTAGAGAAATGTATAAACTACTACCTATTTCACTTTGGCACAGTTGAAGCCATTCTACAAATATTTTGCATGTATCCTATTACCAGTTTCACGAGGTCTGGAAAAAAAATCCGTCTAAAGGTGGAAAATAATTCAGGAGTTGAAGAGTTAAAGCCTGCACCCACTTTTGCCTTCATTAAGAGGCTGACATTTTCATATGGCCCACTCACATGTATTTCCAAACGGGACATCAAATAACACCTATCACTACCCAAGTGATCCCTACCACTCATCAAAATTACCAAATCTTCCTCTCGTGGGCTATATCGCCCTCCAGAAAAGCAAGCACTGCTATAGATAGTGACCAGCTGACCGTTGTCTCTATCTCTCCTACTGTACTTGTTGCAGGTTGCCAGGCAAATGCTAAGTCCTGGTTCAAGATGAAGGAACATCTGCGCTCCCACACCCAGGCCAAGGTCGTGGCCTGTCCCACGTGCGGAAGTTTGTTCGCCAACAACACAAAGTTTGTGGATCATTTACAGCGACAGAGGCTGGTTGTTAATGGTGAGTGTTCAAATCCCATCTTTCTAACCATTTTTTGTCTAAGCTTTTATAGTACCACCACTTGCTTAATCAGTATGTATGAAGAAGTTCAAAGCTCTATTAATGTGAGTGAGGTGTGAAATTCGTTGACCATCTTGGCATCTGGGGAGTTAGAAGGGGGACGGGGGAAAGTTTTCTGTCATTGGATCGACAGTCTTGTCTCTTGTAGGGCTTTCATCATCAACAAAAACAAAACTTTGTGATTGGAAAATTCAGTTTGTCCTTTTTCTTATGATCACTCGTCTGAGACAATCACCTGTGAATGCAAACACTTACCTGACCTATACTATAACTATCCTGATGAATAATGCTGTTTCCACCGTGTTGCTTTGTTTGTTTGTTTTTCTATCTGTTATTTCAGCTCTTTCACTGTAATTGGTTTTCTAAACCGTTATTATTCTCCTTTCTGTTGAACCCCATATCAGTTGTGTCTACAATCTGTTTTTTTGTTTGCCAATGCAATGTCATATATTTTAAGTTATTTTCACAAAATCTCAGTGACATTCGTGTTTTCAGGATCTGGGTTGAAATACATAGAGATAGAATGACAAGAGAAATCCAAGTGAAGTGTTGTATGCATCGACTAGTTTGAACATTCACAAAGTTTTGTACAAATTTTGAGAATTTATCTACCATACAATTTAACCTCTTTATACTGCCACTCTCACTTGCTGCCACATTCTGGCAATGCACCAAAAAAAAAAGGCTTCTCTATAAATATACTATTTGCCCCACTGTCCTCGCCGCCCACCAACTGCCGAGTTACTCGGCCCTTACAAAAGTAATGATAACAGATAGCATTTGTATTGTGCAAATTCCCACTCAACATCAAGCTCTATGCGCTTTACAATCTATTTTTTTTTACCCCAGCAGACCTGATAGCATTCTGAAACAATCACAACTTCCTAGGAAGCTTACAGTACAGTAATGTAAATTTGCCCTGCAACACTGTCAGAGGTACACACTTCGCACTGCACACAGCACCCATCTGTTAGCTGCGCAGCGAAGTCTTGCTTTCTTCCACTCATGATTCTGTAAGCTAGTGATCATCATATGCAGAAAGGCTGAAAACCATCTAAAGTTTTGGACGAGAGGAAAATAACTCATTATAATATTGTTCTTCATTTTGTCATGGCGAATAATTTCTCTTGACGTTGTGCAGACTGTTCTATTTACCAGATGACAGCATTAGCATTATTGAAACCATGTTATACTGCCAGCCTGGTTATATCACCAACTTCATAGTTCATGCTCCTTCCAAAGTTGGCAGTATTAAAGAGTTTTTCTGCATTTTTCAACCATAAAAAAGTATGCTTTGGGGTGTTTTACATTCCCAATAGAATGGTTAAAGGTTAAAGGAAAATGCTCTTTCAATGTTTTTGTCTTAGCTGGTATTTCTGATAATCCAACTTGGGTTTGGCTTCTGTGTTTTGGGTCAATAAATTGTTGCCTGTAAAGGATTGTATACCGTTAACATTTTCTGTTATATCCTGAGACTAAGATATAGCCTGTTGAAATAACTATGTTACGATGATCGGTGGAAGGTTGGAGGGCACCTTTGGTGGCTGCTACATTTTCACTTCCTTTCCGGTTTTTTTCTTCTGTAGTCTATTTGTCCATCTGTGTCTTTCTTTCACGATGCAGTGAATGACCATTATGGTGTGAATGTGGGTCACTTTGTAAATGAACAAACAGACAAACATATGGTCAAACAAATGAACATGTAAATGAACACGTCAGGTAATAACGGAAAATAGAAGACTGAAAGCAGCACAAGTTGGAACTTCAATAGTTACTTTTATGGAATATTGCCAAATGTGACAAACTTTTCTCATTCAGAAATGGTCTCATTGGCCATAGCAGAGCCACAGCTTGAGAAATATTCTCGTCTGTTTATGCACTGGTTATCGTCAGACATTAATGGATTAACTATTACATTCTTAAAAATTCAAATCTTCAGAGGTTATCAAACTATAAGTTTGGTATTCTTTTATTTTATGTAGAGGATGAAGCGGTACATGGTACTGTTTTTGATAGTGAATGATGGGAGTTGCTTTCCTTTTTGTGAATAGAATGATAATGAAGACAAACAGGAAGAAGAAAAAGCTGGTTCAGTGTTTAAAATATTTCATTGGTTTTTCTACGTAGTGAATTTTAGGTCAGCTGATATCCATATACAGGCTACACATCAGGATACAGGTGTATTTATTTCTTTTCTTTTTTTGCCTCGTGCGTAATGCACACGTTTATCACAATTTGCCTTTGTGGTTGGACGACACTGCTGCATGGAAGATTCTACTTCTTTCCTCTTTCTCTGTTTTATCTGTCTGTCCATTCTGCCTCTTCTCAGCCCTCAGTGACTATTATTGTGTTGATGTTTCTTTCATAACTACACGCAGTTTTTTCTCTTATCTTAACACGGATCACATTTCTTTCCTGATGTTTAACAAATGAGTGTATTGCTGATTTCGTTCGTGTCCAGTGTGCACACATTTATCCTCTTTCCATCAACAAGTTTAACTCAGTGGGATTCTATGTGGGACATGTCACGGTTTTTTAGAACGCGTGAAGACGCACTGTTTTGCGGCTTGTCAAAACATGTTTTAAAAAAGCATTACTACTATGTTATTGTTATTATTACAGATTTTCGATTGTATTTTCTTTTATTTGAAACTTTAAAAGGCAAGCAAAAATGTGCATACTATAAAATAATTGTAAAAACTTGTGTTTTTGATTCATGTATATTGGTTGTTGGAGATATGCCGCAGTGTTGCCTTTTGTCTGATACTTATCGGATATGTGTATCCGCTACATCCTCACTGTAAAAAAAAAAAAAAAAGCCCGATTTCCGTGACGCGTGGGGAGAATTTTTATCAAGTATCTCGGTTTTCCTTTTAGGACATCATGTCTCTCTAAGCCCGAATTGGCTCTGACAAGCAAGGTTGAAGCATACACCTTATAAAGGTCTAAATTGCGTCGATGGGGGCATAAAAACACCTACGTTTTAAAATGAAAACCCGATCTAATTTAGAAGTATTGTTTCATTTTTTTCTGAGCTCTCACATGTAGGCCTATCTCATTTATATCATATTAATATTCAACCCGCTATGTTACATTCATGCCTTCTGGTACAAGAACTGCCATAACTGATGTCACTGAAACTTCAGTCACGCCAATGAGCCAATTTGAAAAATCGATTGAAATTTGTGTTATTAAAAAAAATAGTACACTGAATGCCAGCATCTTCATATACACGAACAGTAGTAATAGGGTCTCAGTCAACGTTAAATAGTACACGGTGCCATTTTAAGAAGCTGGTCCATGAGCTACTGTAACAGATGTCAGTGCTTCTTCCTGCTTGCCGAGGGCACTTTGGCGAGTGGTTGCAGGCTGCCAGTAGTAGGTCCTACTTCTTCTCTGTCTCTCTTCTGTTTCTATCTATCGGCCTTGCTTACACC